CTTTCTATCATAAATGCAGAGAAATGCCATATATCAGAGGTATCAGAGGCATGTAAAATTACAACACTGAAAAATGAAATCAAAGCGAGCACACCATCTAGATCCATTAAGTAATAATTGGTTTCGTAAGATGCCTATATAATTCTTATCCTCAAATGAACCTACGAGTACAATTCTACATTACAAGAAGTTAAAGATTCCAAAACGACAAAAGGAGGATGCAATGAAGAAAACTACCTGTAATCGAGCCTTGCGCTCTTCTTTGCGTTGGGCCACAGCAACATACAAAGGCTTCCGTCCAATCATCTTGCCACTCATCTCGGCCAACTGAAGAAGAGAAAAAGGGAAGTTACTAACGCAAAAACTGTTTTTTTTTTTTTGGGGGGCCTGGGGGGGTGGGGGTTGTTGGGGTGTGTGACAAAAGGTGAATTGCAGGATGTGCCAAGAATTCAGCATATAATAAAAAGCTTACGGCTTTATTGGCTTCTTCCGGAGTAGAAAATGCAACAAATCCAGAACCCTTGCTCACCCCTTGGTGATCAAGCATGACCTTGAAAATAAAGAAAATTAACATTTTTTTTTTAATATATTACTTTTTAGGAGAGCTTCGGAATAATAAGTGAAGCTAACCTTTCGAAAAGGACCTACAAAGGAGACATAATCAGGAAAGACAAACCAGTAGTACAGTTGAAATAAGATGTACCTTGCACGATGTTATTGTTCCAAATTCAGAAAATAGCTCCTTTAGTTTTTCATCATTTACTGTGTCATCAAGATTTTTGAGATATAAATTAGCACCTTGCAGCTTCTCAAATCTACTGAGTCTTTCCTGTTCAAACTTAGCTCTCAACTCCATCTCCCTCTCAGATTTCCTTTGAGCCCTCCCGACAAACAAAACCTTGTCACCACTAACGGTGCTCCCATTCAACTTCTCAATTGCAGCAGAAGCTTCTTCTGGCTTCTCAAAGTTAACAAAACCAAAACATCTAGACTTTCCAGAACCATCCCTCATAACAACCGCACTAGTAATGTTACCATGCTCACCAAAAGTTTTCTTAAGGTCTTCATCTGTAGTCGTCTCTGACAAATTCTTCACATAAACATTAGTGAAATGTGGTGATCCATTTTGCCCATTCCTGTCCTGGCCTCGTTGAAACAATCCAACATAAACCAGTTTTCCATTTATCAGCATTTTGTTCAGCTTCTTGATCGCCTCCTGCGCAGATTCCTCATTGTCATACTGTACGAACCCATACCCTTTAGATTGACCGTTGCCATCAAGTGCAACCTTGCAAGAAAGTACGTTGCCAAAGGTTGAAAAAGTGTCCAACAACGCCTTATGATCAATACTTTTGTCCAGGTTCTTAATGAACACATTGGCCTTTCCGCTCTTTCGAATGCTTGGATCACGATGAGAGTACATAATCCTGATGGGTTTCCCATTGATAGGAGTAAAATTCAAAACCTCCAGGGCATTGGCGGCTGCAAGTTACACGGCAAAAAATTACAGATATCAATTCCTAGTAAACAAAATTTACTTTTTTTCCAAATGACGGAGACGGAGGGGTAATAAAATATTCAGTAGTTTATTTTATCCTATACAAATCTACAACTTCATCCACAAAACACAAACAAAAGATTAAACAATCTGTTTGCATTTTTTAATGACAAACACAGACAATAAACAATGCGATCACAGAATCTTCCAACAAATTCGCAGAACAAATATCATTTTATTATACAAACGAAACAAAATCCGATAAGACAACAATAACAGAAACAAAATTCAAATTAGAAAACAAATGAGATTCACGGAACACTAAAACAACAAAATTAAAAAAACAGAAGACAGACATTGTGTGTTGAATCAAACAGGCAAACGCAGAGACAGATTACGAGAATGCGAAAAGAACGGACCGTGCTGAGGATCGCCGTAATTAACGTAGGCATAGCCGAGGGATTGCATTCGGCTCTGATCCCGACAGACCCGAATCGAAACGATCTGCCCCATTTGGTTGAACAGATCGTACAGCTGCGCTTCGTTCACACTCGGGTCCAGATCGCCCACGTACAGCGACACGTTCCCGAAAACCGACGGAGCCGCAACAGGCGGCGCCTGTTGAGCGGCCGGAGACATTGGTTGAGCCACGGGACCCGATACCGCCGCCGCCATTGCAGAAGAAAATCGAATAAATAATCAAATAAATAGGGAAAAATGGGAAATCAGGGATAAGGTTAGGGTTCGCGGAGAATTCTTTGAATTTTGAGTGATGAGTAGGGTTTCACTTGCTCTATAAATGGAATGAATTTTATTTTTTGGGAAAAAATGAAACGGAGATTTTATTTTCGGGGGATTTTTTTTATTTTTTATTTTTGTTCTTCTCTGGAGGAAGGGGCGAGAGAGGAGTGAGAGGGTGGAAAGCAGAGACGAAGAGTGGTATATATACGGAGAGAGAGTGAATCGAAGCGGTGCGTTGGGACTTCGTAACGATTAAGGTAGGGAAAGCGCGCGTGCGGTAGATGACGTGGCATTCTATGTGAGATGCGGTCGCGCTTTTTATTTGCTTTACGGCAGTTGGTGCTGGCCCACTTTGTTGGTTACGGTTGGCCAGGGCTTTTGGACACGTCTCTTTAATTTTCCGAACGTGCCTTTTTGTATATTTCATCATGGAAAATATTGGCGTTGACAAAAAAAAAAAAAAAAAAAAATCATGGATAATTGGTTGGTCAATGCCCAATATACAACTGTGTGAATTGGTTCAATAAAAACAATTAGAGCAATGTCCCTAACCTCATATGTTAAACATTGCAATGTTATATCTTAATTTATTAATTTGTTGTAATGTCAGATCTTCATTAAATTTTATGTCAATTTAACTATTAGCTGCTAATGTGACAGTTAACGGGTCCACTCACCAGTTGGATAAATTAATTAAATATTAAAAAATTAAGAATTTCTTTTGTAACAACAACATTAAAAGAATGAAGAGGTCTCACCACTAAGCACCCTTTCTCCATCACCGTCCCGCATTTTCCTTCTTGCACACCAGACGCCACTCTCACCTTCATGTTCTGTCATTCCTTGTGCACAGCTTCTATAAAGAAACTATGGAGTCATTTGTTGCTTTAACGGGGATGAAACAGCCAAATTGATAGAAATTTAACAGATATATGACATTGCAAATAATTAATAAGTTGAGGTATTACATTGCAATGTTTAAAACAAGAGATATAAGATTACGGTTCGATTCATACTTAAGGTAATCTTGTGTAATTTACCCTTGAATTAATTATATCCTCAATTGCGTCAAGCAGGCGCTTTACCTTGATGTTTCTTGTACTGGTCACCCAAAAGGCTTTTCTATTAGTGTTTTTAGTTGCTTAAAAAAGTCCCAAAAAAAATATAATTTGTTTTAACCAGGTAAAAAACACAACATGACAAAATTATATGATTACACAGACAACAATTAAAATGTTATGACAACTACATTTGGTAGACCACATTGGAACCTCTCTCTAATAGACATGGAATTTTTTTTGGTATTGTTGGTCCTTACCTTTATTAGAAGGTGTGGAATTCTGTTATCTAGTAGTCTAATTACTTGCATATGACAATTTAGGAACTAACGCCAATCCAATCCATTAATCTAGGACTTGGTGGTGCTAGCAACAACTATGTGAATGCAATTCAAGTATCATGTTATCATTAGCATTAATAAACCAATATCTAACACAAAGATGCTTATTGTGACCTGAAAACCAAATTGGTATAAAATGGGGGAACTTTATGTCTAATGAAAAGTTCACTATGAAGGGTTTAGAGTTCAGGTAAACTCTCCGTTCAATCTTCAAATTATAGACAGAAATAGATCTAGTGTGAAATCAATTGAAGTTCAATTGCAGGATTGTGGTGGTTGAAGCTAGAGGTCTAGGGAGATATTTTGAAAACTTAGCTTTACACTAACTAGGATCTCCATTCTTTAGGATGGCTCAAACAAGAATTAAACTCAACAAAGGAAGCTTATACAAACAACTTGTCTTTACTTGGGTCCTAATCAAGTATGAGTATTGCAAAGGATACACACACATATTAATAGGTCTAGGAGGAACTTTTCCAGACCTTTTCTAGAACTATCAGGGACAGAAGCATCTTCCTGTTTTGTCTATTACTTACACATGACAAGGAGGAATCTCTTTAATCAACTATACTTTACTTGAGATCAAATATATTCTAGATAAGATTCCTTGCTTTACATCACACCAAATACTATTATACCATTCCTCATGTCTGCTTGTCACATCTTGTCTTATCACGTCTACACACTAATGGTAAAGAACACATGTCATAAGACCAAGTTGAGATTCTCTTCGGATCTCACTGTCTAGAGCCCAAGGACAAAAAAATCCAGACCATTCAAGAGAAAGAGATCGGGGCCTTCATTTCGTGTGAGGTGAGCCGGTGGAAAGGACTAATGGGGACCGCAAGATTCAATTTGAGCAGTCTAAATTTCTTGGTCCTAGAGCTCTAAACAGTGAGATCCGGAGAGGATATGAACTCATGATACCCCATTCATTCTTGTTTCTTGCTTCTCGACTGCTCCAACCCTGTACTCGATTGATCGTTCATTGACCAGCTTCTCAGCATCATACATAAAATGTTTGACCAATCGGAACTTGTTATGCAATTGATCGAATAATGCTGTTTGGTTCAGTATCGCATTAGATAGTTCACCATTAGTTCTAGTGTCAATCAATTGACGGTTTCGTTGTCTTCTGTCACTCGATGGATTGACCTTAAAAGGACCATCCCTTGCAAGTTGCATCCGATTTGTCTAATGCAATAGGCAACCAAACAACATCATTCAACAGATCGAAGAACAAGATCAGACCGAGAACAGTTTTAGTACAACGCTCTATACGTCAGTCAATGAACAATCAATCGAAAACAAAGTTTGATCAGTTGAGAAGATTTGCAGTGAAAAAAATAGTCTTCTACAACATGAAGCAACACTCAACGATAATTATTTTTAACGATAACATATTCTGCATCATATATAACCATATGCACTTTACACATGAACATGTTTGCTCCCATTCCGAGAGGTATTTTCTGTTTTGGAAATTTAGAAGGTGCTTTTTATGAATCATAAAATTAATTCTGAAATTTACAAAGAGACTGCTCAAGTGGCCTTTTCTCCTGAACAAAATATAGATATGACTATATGCACTCTGCACTCTTAGAATAGCGTCTTCAAAATATGCCACACAGAAACACGCTATACAGGTCTTGAATTGCACATCAACACGCTATACAGGTCGTGAATTGCACATCAACCTCAAATTTTACAGTGTCTCATCAGATCAAAGCTCCGTCACTTCTGCTTTCTGCCCTACAGCAAACAACAAACGAACTTCAAATCACAGTTCAAGTGTTTAATCCTCACGCTAAACATGCTTTACAAATTCCAAGTCTCTACCTTTAGTTCAGCTTGATCCTAGAGAGGTCGTAAGTAACTTTTTCGGACCTAAAACTTGATTTCAGACAATTTGTATATTTCATAAATCTACTCATTTCAAAATCTACACAAAATTTAGACTTCTCTCTGTCCCACCTACTTGCCAAATGCCAACCTGTTTCCTCCACCTCAAAATTATCTAGATTTCCAGGGTAAATCTATGGCCGGTTATATACATATACGAGAAAAACAATCCTGGAATAGAAACAGAAAGGAAAAATGCAAATCAGATTGCTTTTTCTGTTTCATTAAGCTACCAACGGCTGCAGTTAAGATTCTTCCAGCCAGAAGAACAAAGCTCACCAGTTCAAATGCAAAGAAAGCTTAACAATTTCTCTAATTGAGACTTGATTCTTTTGTATCCCATTAATCAGACTTTCATCCACATATTTCCAATATCATTGTCCAACTATTTTAGTCATCACTTCTCCCGCTTACAATCTTGATTATCAACCCCGAATAAACTTAACAACTATTCTCACCCTGTTTTTGTCCATGTACATTCACACACACCAAAATTTTTCTCTACTGCACTTAGTCTCCATTCCAAACAAACCAAGCAGCATATGATAAATACAGCAAAACAGCTTTACTGAATTTGGCTTACCTACTACCACTTCTTAGTAGAACAACATAGAGTGGATCTTGGGATGTCAACAGAAACAGCTGCCGGACAATATAGGTACATGTGGTAATGCTGGAAAGTAGAGAGCACAAAAAGGTTAATATATCAAAATTGACCCTAATGGGCTAGCAGCAGATTCACTGTGTTATGAAAAGAGCAAACCCAGTTGATAAAAGAGAACGCACTCAATATATCATCTTATCATAAAAACTTTGTCAACCCATATACAATTTTTGTCTTTTCTCACCATCAATCTATGTATATTATTGAATAATTACTTATGAAAACTGAAAACAAAAAGTATATAAAAATTCAAAGTAAAAAAGTTTTCTCAACTATAAATAACCATACTTTATGAATTCCCCTTCCGAAAACCACACACATATATATTATCTGTATATATACAGATAATACGAAACAAGTAATTGTGTGTCTGTCAATGTATTGTCTATCAAAATTACAAATTTGCAAGTAGGCCCTGTTTACATAGGTGTGGAACATATGTATGCTGTTATAAAATTACAGAATGGACGTCTTCTCAGCGGAAAGTATATTGATGTTTAAAACCATGAGAGTTACCTGCCAAAACTTATCAAAAAGATTATCCAAAGAGCTGCTGTAGTCCAACTTGATTCTTTGTAGACTACCCAAACCTGATTTTTATACAAAAGCAAGAAGATCTTTATTCAAAATTAAGACAATTGTGCAGAAAGATATATTCAAAACATTTACTCACTAGCAAGGATCTGAAGTAATTAAATGACGAAGGTTAAAAACCGCTAGGTTCAGAAAATCACCATGATGCTAAATTGATCACTACTTTCTACTTTTCAAGCCTACAAATGAACTTAAAAGAAGGGAAAGATAACAATCACTGAGGCAACTAGAAACCCTCAGCCACAAATCTTAGAATATTCATTAGCAATTAATTACTGCATAACATGAATTCCTCAATAACATTTTTCTTTGAGCATATGAATGTTTTCTAACATTCTATTTTAAGACTCCAATCGTTGACAAACTCGCTTGAACAGATTTAACAGAATCACACCCTGACTCAGTGGTTGGCTCAAAATATGATTAATCAGCAAAAGTTCAGTAAGGAAAAAGTGACCATAGGGGAAAATTCTCTACGGTAGATTAATGAGCCTAAAGCTATTTGAATGTTTATTCAAGATGCAGCTTAACTGGTATCAATTTCAGTTATATGCGCGGCTTTAACGAGTTCTGTCAATTTATTATTGGCGTCTTTTAACTCCCCTGGCCTACTTCTCACAAGATACTGAGAGCATAAATAACTACGCATAATATAATGAGTATCTGAGACATACTGATAGAGCAACAACATTGATGTAAAAGTCAATAAGTGTTGCTATCATCCACCTGCAAACATGTAGCAGCTAACTTTTAATTACATGACAGCTGAAAAGATCGATCAAAATCTTCAATTAAAACATTGCTTACTATGCCAATATTCTCTCGTACACAGTAAAATAGTTCGCAAGAAGCAAGAACCACATGAGACTGAAATAAATAAATAAAAACTTACGGAGTCAAAAGCTCTGTGCGAAAAGGAGTACCGTCTGTTAAGAGAGTGTACAGAAGTGTTCCCAGCATCAAGAGACCCAAAGCAATAAAGGTAACTCTTGCAATCATAACGTGGGAGCACTTCTTCTTACTTTCCGTACCATAACTACATGAAAGCATTTAAATCAAATCAGTTTTTATTGGGACCCAAAGCAATAAAGGTAACTCTTGCATTGTACCATGCTATCAGATTTATTGCCAGTTAAATCTATAACATTAGTACCTCCAGCTGGGAGTATGATAGAGGAAAATGAGAAAAAGATGGAAAGAAAGATATGATAAGAAAAGCAGCATCTTCACCGGCATATGCATACTTTCTTAGCATAAGACGGTTGTGTGTGCATGCATGTGCATGTTTTCGCAAATATTCTGATACGAAATCGTGTAAGATGGCCAGCCACATGCACTGTTGGACCACCATTACTGATTGAGCTTAGTATGATACTATGATATAGAGCTTTATCTAACAGAAAAGAAATAGCTGCATGAGAAACCATATTTATAAAGAAAATGGAGCAGCATAAGCAGTTTCATAAGCATAGTAAGACGTGCATCTTCGTGTGTGTCCTATCCTATGACGTGTATCAACAAACCTTCACGAGTTCTAGTATATGGTCACATGCATATGAATTATGATGCACCATTATCAGACAAAGCTCAGTGATCATACAGAGCTCATATATCAAATAAAGCCCAACAGTGAACTCCTTAGTTTAAAGTTTGTTTAGGAAAAATTCCTCTCTAAGTGTTAAACAAATAACATCATGTATTAAGTTAACATTTACACAGTAACACAGACTCAATAGAAATAATCCAAAAATGTCACTCCTCTATATGGTCACCAGAGCACAATCTATATTGATGGTCTCAATCCAGTTCTTATATTATTTCCCATCTCCAAATATAGCCAGCCTTTCTTGTATTATCGCACCACGCTGCAAAGCAGCAATTCAACAAGAACCATTCAATTACACCCCCTTTCCTCTCTCAAATAGCCTCTCCAGTCTTCACAATAACACACCTTCCTTCATTTGCAGCCAGTTGCCAATATCACAACAGCTTCTCATACCCCAATAATAGCCAACAATGCTATTTTGTCTTCCTATCTCCAATCTCCTTTTCAATAAACTTTCATGGCTGCCTCGGAAAAGGGGAAACTCTGTTTCCTCCACTGCAATTGTGCTAACCAGAAAGTCCTCTTTCTCTGCTAGAACTTCAATCCGAGTTTTTGAATATCACCCACCTTGTTACACCTCAAGCAGACAAATTCGAACCATCTCCTCTGGTAAATCAGTTTTTCTCTTACACAATAAATATTTTTCAATGCCGCAGGTATAAATTCTACAAACACTAATGGGTTGCACGCTATAAATAATAATTTAAAAAAAAAAAAAAACTATAATGATTCAGCAATTAAGTAATATCAGAATTCCTAAAATTAAAATTCTCTGTCATTTTCATGTAATTGATAACCACGCCATATTTGAATATATTTCCCAGAGATTACAACTTAAGAACATTGTATTAAGAGATAAATCAAATTAGAATACATTAATTGAATCAAGAGAGAGCACAAGAAGGAAATCAGATGGAAATCAACCGATTTCCATGCACTTTGCCATCCACCGACAAGTTTCTCTATGCACATCTCTCATTATTATAATTTCTATACAATAATTTGATTCAACATTAGAGCACGATACACTAAGGTGAAGTTTAGTTTACCTACCCGTTTGAATGTCGCAACAGAACATAGTACATAGGATCTTGCGATTCTGCAGTCGATAGCTTCATAAATTGCAACAGAATGTAGGCACATGTAGTGATACTAGAAACAGAAACCAAAGAATAGCAACAAATTAATAACAAACTAAAGTTGATAATGAACCAGATAAATTGGGTGTGACGGAAAAATCAAACAAATATTAACACATTGAAATATTACCAAGCATGACAGGTCAAAAAAAAAAGATTGCAAGCTCAAATCAAACTTTCACACTCAAATTAGAGCAAGAATCATTGTCATGAAATGGAAAGAAATCAATACACAAATACAAAAAGGCAACTGATACCAGAAAAGAAGCAAAACTACATAACGATTAAAGAAAACATAGTAGAAATACAGAACTTTGAACCACTGCTCTGTTACATAGGTGTTGTAACAACTAATAAAATCACCACATCTCAAAATTCAGTCATACTGACTGATAGGATTAGGACGTGTTTCTGGGACCAGCCAGATCAGGATTGAGAAACTTAACCATCTGACCCAACAGTATTGGGTTGAAATTTCAACCATACAAGACCAACTGAGAGAAGCCTATCACTGGCAAACCCAATGTGGTAGGTAATAAAAAAGTTTGTCTAACCACATTACTGAACCACCCCACACGCACATTCAGAATATATTTAGCATAGGGTAGAAAGCAAACCTTCCAAAGCATACTAGTAATATAACCCACAATGTAGCAATAATCCAGTTTGACTCCTTGTAGGAAATCCAAATCTGAAAAGAGAGACATAACTTATATAATTCTATTCTATGTCAAACTGAGCTACGCACACAATTTTGTTTACACCAGATTCAATTCAATGCATGATGAAATAGCAAGTCGACCGAAAGAGACCAAAAGAACCTAAACAGCCAGTAATATATATCTCGTGTCTAAATATAATCGAGGAGCCTTTAAGCACCTCAAAATGAAATAACAATACAACAACATCATAGAGGCCATAATCCCCAAAAAATAAGGGGAAGAAACTAAAACAGTGACACTTTTCATTAAGTTTACCAAGCATTCTGGCATATTAGACAGATTTTCTTATTTTCCATTCCTCATGGAAGAAATAAATCCATAAGAAAATGTCAGGAAGTATACTTGGTTAACAAGCGACGTAAATTCTAGACTCATGAGCTCATAGAAATACCAACGATTACGAGCAGCCTTAATCTAGCAAATTTTTAGCTACCAAAGTACCCCGAGACACTCACTGCAATCAATTACGGAAACTGTACGGTTGTTCATATGCTTCTTTCTTGTCATCTTTAAAGTCAAATGAACTATTATGATTTTATCCATTTCAAACAAAGCTATCAATGGGGGGCAAGCCTTGGCGCAACAGAAAGTTGCTCCTTTTGTGACCAAAAGGTTACGGGTTTGAGTTAAGGAAACAACCTCTTTGCAAATCAAGGTTAAGACTGCATATGATACCGACCCCACTTTGCGGGAGCCTTGTCCCTTTTAAACAATGATATTAATGATATAGCACCAACAAAAAAAAAAAAAGAGAAGACGGAATTAACAAGAAAATTTACAAAAACAATTACAACGATGGAACCTCAAGAATTCGATGAAAGCTTAGCAGAAAAATGTGTTTAAGTTTAAGATCATACCGCGAAAGGAACAACATTGATGTAGAAATCAATCAAGGTAGCGACCATCCACCTGAAACAGAAAAAATCCCAAAACTTTCAAAATAATTAAACAAACAGAAAAAACAAAAGACTGGGAGTATGAACGAGGGAGAGAGAGAGTACGGAGTAAGAAGGTCCTTGCGAAAGGGAAGGCCGTCGACGGAGAGGGTGTAAACGAGAGTGACGGTCATCGCGCAGCCCAAAGCTGCAAACAGAACTCTTAAGCCAATCACCAAAGAATTCGCCATTGCCTCCGCCTCACAGGAATTGAAGAAGAAAAGAAAGGAGTTTTGACGACTGAAATGCAAGTGTGCGTGCGGCTCTTGTGTTCTGTCGTCTGTGGCCTGTGGGTGTGCTTCTGAGGTTCAAGGAAGACGGGAGCGCGCGGACGCCAGAGCTCCACGTCGCTTCCGTAGTTAAATTAACTAGTGCTGTTTTAGGCTTTAGCTAATGTGTTTGACTCTCCCACAACCCCTCTAACTTAAAGGATAATGTTATAAAAAACAAATTTTTAAATCAAATTATGTTTTACTAATATGAAATAAACACCTTGATTAAGAATCAGCATTTGCCCATGCATATAAGATTTTGTGTTTAGTATTAAAGATTTATAACTAATTTATTTACTGTAATTATGTTATCGTTTGTCAAATTTTTTTTTCATTTACTATTCAAATTTTGAAAAGAAATATAAATTACTTATAAGAGCTAGAGAGCATTAGGATATAGTATTGAGTGTAATATTCTTTGGACATTTAGCTTTTGTTAGTTTCCCTCTCATCCTCTATAAACTTCTTTTTGTAATACACATAATATTATCTATAGGGGTGAAAAATAAAGGTTAAGTTTCGTAAAGAATTAACTATAATAGTTTGATTCAAATTCGTCCTTAATAAAGATTGAACGTAAAATCTTTCATTTAATCACTTACAAATAAAAAATATTACTAAATCATAATACTAAGTAACTCAACCTTCATAATCATAGAGAGGAACTATACATATATTGTGACTTCACTCTTTAAAATTTAGGGAGTTTTAATGAAACACCCACGGTACTATTCACTTTAATGAAAAACCACATTTTTACACTAAAAAGTCAATCTTGCTACTATTTATTTTATTCTTTATTTTATCTTTATCATTAAAACTTAAAACTTTCAAACCTTTTTCATTAATTTTACTTAAAATTTATTAGTTTTTCAGCGCGCGCTCAAATTCTTGTGAAAAGGTCAACACGTGTCATTTGCTTGGATTTAACGCTTGGCTCCTAGTTTGGAGGACGAGACAGCTGAAATTACAACTTGGTTGCATGATGCAATCAAGATTTAAACTTTTAATCCCACCCTAGTGTGATGGCCCCCATCCTAAACCACTTTTGTTGTGTGGATAAGTGGGACCCAAAATACACATGTCTAAACTAAACTTACTTCTTAATATAATAATGTCACCTGGCACTGGGTCTTTGTCATTGTAATAATATATGTTGCTGTCTGTCCTGCCGACGTACACAAATATAATTCCAAAAATTAAAAACAAGACAACCACCGATCGAAATTGGCGCCCCTTTCTTCTCTCTCTCCCTCTCTCTCTCTCTCTCTTCCCATTCATTCTTTCCTTTCCTAGAAAGAGAAAGAGAAAAAAAAAAAATAGAAATAAAAGTGGAAAGAAAAATTCAAACACGCCGACCAATCAATCGCCTTGGTGCGTGAAATCTGTTTACTGTCGAAATAGTTGAAATTTTCGCCTTTGGCATCAGTTTAAATTCGTCGCCATGTCATTGCGCAGGCGAACCTTGCTCAAGGTCATCGTTCTCGGCGACAGTGGGTACGTTTTTGGGTTTCTGATTCTTCAGCAATTGTAGTTTATTTCTATATTTTGTGTGAATTTAAGGGATTAAATTTGTGTTATTTCTTCTGTTAGGGTTGGCAAGACCTCGTTGATGAACCAGTATCCTTCATTCACCATCTGTGGGATTATTTTCGTTAATTTTAATTATTTTTTTTTCCAATTTCGGTGTTGGATTTGTGTAATTTTGCGATCTCAGAAATCTAATTAATTGAGGTGAATTAAGTTTAATTAGATGGATATTGTTTATGATCTAGAGATGGGGCACTGTTATATTAATGAGCTATCGGTTTAATTATGTTTTTTTTTGGGTGTTAAGACTGTGTGGTTCTTTAACTGATGGCTTAGATATGTGCACAAGAAGTTTAGTCAGCAGTATAAAGCTACAATTGGTGCCGATTTTGTCACCAAAGAACTCCAAATCGATGACAGGCTCGTCACTTTACAAGTGGGTTTTGTGGTTCAATGGTATTTCAGTGTTCTGTTTGGTATAATTTAGGGTAATTATTGTTGGAATTGTTGGTGCTAATTTATGTGGTTTTTACTGTTTTCTTTCGTCTGGAAGATTTGGGACACAGCCGGGCAGGAAAGATTTCAGAGTCTTGGAGTTGCATTCTACAGAGGAGCAGATTGTTGTGTTCTTGTTTATGATGTTAACGTAATGAAGTCCTTTGATACTCTAGATAATTGGCATGAGGAGTTTCTCAAGCAGGTTTGTTTCATGCCTTTCTCAATTCTTTATATATTTATCTGATAACTTTCTCTTGCCAAACTGATGTACTGTGCTGTGAGATTCTCAAGTAGGACCATTATCAGTTGGAAACATATGTTGAGGATCTGAGGTGCAGTTCTTATTGTTATCTGGTAGCATACTGTGCCAATTGTGTTACAAGATCGAATTACTTATATAAATGTGTACACACACATAGCGTTTCTCAGTCATTCTATATTCAAGCAAGGATATATGTTCATCAAAAGGGAGCTATTATTTGCACTCCCAAAAAGGCATATAGTATCACTTCTGTTCATACTGCAGTTTGATCAATAATGAGCTATTTGCTTTATCTTGGGCTAGCTACTTAAGTTATAACAATTTTTTTCGGTAGTGGGGTTTTCTAGACTGAAGAATGAATATGGTGGCAGGGAAGACTAGTTTAGAGCTTAAAAATACTGAATAGTAGTTGTCTAATGCGTAATTATTTTTTATTGGTTTGTTTTTTATTTAGATTTGGCTTGATAATATCTATGTTTTCTATTGTTTTTGTCTAATGAGAGAGGTAACAAGAAAAAAGGAGGAAGAATTAAGAGTTTTTAAAGTAAAATGAATACAATTCTGATATTGGACGTTTTAGTTTTTTCTATTAACCATTCTCTCTTTTTCCCCTTATTTTCGTTGGCTTTTGAGACAAATGCAAAAGTATTTTTCTTCCCAAGTACGAAAGCAATCAATATTCCATCAATGCTCCATTTCCTGGGACCTTTATGTCGTATGCAAGAAGGGAATTCCCATGTAGGGAGTAAAGGTTGCTTATCTTACTTCCATCCATCATTTCTTGCTTCAGCTGAAAAATTGTAGAATTTGCAAAGAATTCTTCCAGATGAATTACCATTTTAGCACTAATTTCCAAATGCTGTTCTGTGTGTGTTTTATGGTGTATTTGACACGAGAGGACAGTTGAGCCTCGGATAGTACTAAGTTTCCATGCTATAGGCTTTTAATTTTCCATTTTGTGCTTGCTTTTCCATGGATGGCTACATAAGGCTGCCTTTCTCTTATTTCTTTAATTCTATACATTCCTTATAACAGTTTGTTTATCTGAATTAACACGATTACCTTATTTTATGTTGTCATTGATTTAATTATAAAACATAGTGGTTTGATAAAGGTGTCTCTAAGCAGTTTTGAAAGTTGTAAATATATACCTTTCAAGCCTAAGCAGTTTGGCTTACAGTTCTGTAATTTGAATTTTTTTTTTTTTTTTTTCAGAAAATGCATATATTTTGTTTTAATGCGTATATCGTTTCCGTTCTAATTGTTTCCCAGGCCAACCCTACCGATCCCAAGACATTTCCGTTTATCTTGCTTGGTAACAAGATTGATATAGATGGGGGGAACAGTCGTGTGGTAAGGATACACATTTGTAGTGCTGTCTACAACTTGTCCATGTACATCATTCTAATTATTTTCTTTACAGGTGTCGGAGAAGAAGGCAAAGGACTGGTGCGCATCAAAGGGGAATATACCTTATTTTGAGACATCAGCAAAAGAGGATTACAACGTTGATGGTGCATTTCTTTGTATTGCGAAGACTGCTCTTGCAAATGAACATGAGCAGGACATGTAAGTTTATATGGAGGATATTGCCAAGTTCTTTTTTAGAATATATTTAAGTTCATCAGCTATTCCAGATTCAGAAGACGAGCATCGGCTCTCTTTTGGAAGCATCCGCATAGTGGATAGATAATTCTATATAGTGTATTTGATAATAGTGTATTTGATAACCCTAGACAAGAATTAGATAATGAACATGATAGTTTTCATTATGAATGTAGTTTTTAGTTCTCACTTTTATGACGTGAAGGATAAAACCTAGTATATTGGTCTTCTTAGAACTTAGTTAAGATCTTTTAGGGAAGAATGGTCGCATGTGTAGATAAAGCCTGGTTTCACCAGTCACAATAGTTGTGAGTATAGATAAAGCCTGGTTTGACCGGTCGCATCAGAGGATGTGCATTTGAATTGGACTAAGTACAGCTTGAGACGAGGTAAGGGGCTCGGCTGTGTGGAAGCAGATGACTAAACTAAGTCTCGTTGTCCCACATAACGGATCTTTGCTGTAAAGCAATCAAAGTATAAGCATCTGATCTTGATCTTTCCAAATTCCGTCAAAACTTCTTTGTAGAATAAGCATATGATTCTAATGAAAATTTTCCTTCAGAACATGAAAACCTTTCAATCAGCTTATGGTGTCCCCAACTTTCAATTACCTTACAGTTTACCCCATCTGTATATCTACAGGGCATCAGTATCTATCTTCCTGCTATTATTGCTGTATGCTTATATGAGGTATTTTATGACCTTCCAAACCTGCCTTATTCATCATTGTTCCTTTTTCCTTTCTACTTGCAGATATTTCCAGGGCGTCCCGGAGGCCGTTACAGAGTCCGATCAGAGAGGAGGTGGCGGCTGTGCATGCTGAATTTATTCGAGCAATTCACCTCCAATGCTGGGTTGCCTAATTTTCATTATTTTGTTGTCCGATTCGTAGGCATTGTTTGTACACGTTGTATACTAAGTTCTGTTGTTTAGCGATGCTCTACTTTTTCCAATTTGAGGAAAGTAGTCCCTATTTTTGTCAGAGGAACGCCAAGGAAAGCAGTCGCTATGAGTTTTGTTTGACCTCGGACACGAAATCG